ATGCACATCATCGTTGCGGACACGCTGGTGACACCCGACACCAGCAATGCGTCCCAGGCAGTGATGGTCAAAGACTTGAAGGCGTCCCAGATCCTCAAATCGGAAGGACCTAGTATCACTCACATAGGGTAGGACGGCTCGCAATGTGCCCAGGTACACACGGACTTTCAGAGTGAAGGTGACCTTTGCTGACGTCGTGGTATCAAGAAGCCGGTTCGAGCTTTTGTGATACGTGGATTAACAACAGCAGTCACACGTTTGTCGAAGCTGATGCACTGTTACAGTGAATTGATCAAGTACCTCAAGTTCCTCGCCATCAAGAGTCGTTGGATTATCTATACCATTTTCCATTGAAGTTGGACATTCGGGCAAAACATTTACGCCTGGGGGTCAACGGGGTTGCTCCTCCGGGGCAATCAAGTTGAGTATTCGCTATGCAGAATAGAACCACTCACTGGCATGGTAGGGGCTGTTTCATTGGCCAAGCGCCTTAAGCAAATAGGACCTCAGGCGCTTGGCCAATGAAACAGCCCCTACCATGCCAGTGAGTGGTTCTATTCTGCATAGCGAAGACTCAACTTGATTGCCCCGGAGGAGCAACCCCGTTGACCCCCAGGCGTAAATGTTTTGCCCGAATGTCCAACTTCAATGGAAAATGGTATAGTGGCTGGTGGTACTGTAAGACCAGTATTATGAAGTAGCGAAGCTCATGATAAATGATGGGACCACTCTAGAAAAGCTATTCATGGCTATATAACTGAAGACTAGTAGCTCAGGTTGTTCAGATGGCAGTTAAACTATTCGCTGAACTTGGCAATTTGGTTGCAAACGTTTCGTCACCAATCGAGGTGGCATCATCAGTGCGTAGCTGAGTAGCGTGCAGTAGCGTAGAATAGCGTAGAGGAGCCTCGGTGAGAGTGCGCTGAGCGTGGTGTGCGTGCGTTTTTATACCGCCGTGGTTGCCCGTGGAGGCCAGCAGTCCTATTGGTTGGGATTTCGATCCGCCTTCAGCCTGATTGATGGGCGGATGACCTTCGACCTTGACTCCTTGTGTTTCGTGGCCTTTGTCTGCTTGCGCTTTGTAGCGAGTCTGTCGTCAGTTCTGGTTGGCTAGTCGCACGTTCCACCGGCTTCAATCGGTTGAGTTGGCGTTCGTTCGTCAGTAGTGTTGCGTATACTGCGTCCAGGTCGATTGACTGAATTCGTTGTAGAGTACCAGGCTACCAAAAACTCCCTCGCGTGTTTTGTACTTCCATGTGCTAGAATCTTTACATTCTCTAGATCGTAATGGTGGCCATCTTGATCTTCATGCGCAGGAACCAATGAGTGCGGATCATGCCTTCTGACGGCCGCCTTGTGTTCGATGATTCGTGTACAAAGCTTGCTTCTAGTTTGTCCGACATAGTTTTTATCGCAATCGCTGCATTTTATCTGATAGATGACATTGCACAATTACAATATCATCCGTATAATAAAGATCAACAAGGCCCACATCGTGAGATTACGCAAGGAGACACTATATGATAGAGTCCACGACAAAGTTGAACAAAAATAGGGAAATGGGACAATCGTGACGAACGTCAAATGCTGTCGGAAAGACATCAGATAAGTCACCATAGTGCCTTATACGGCTTGTAGTGTTCGAGTGCATGGCACATAAAATGTTTAAATATTTCATGGGAACACCTTTCTGCTCGAGCATTTCGAACAGAATGGATCGACTTACTAGGTCTAACGCACACTTAGTGTCGGTCAGTGGTACGTTGGACGCTGCTTTAGCACAGTATGTGCGATTGCCCTTATCGAATATTGCCAGTATTAGCGAGTTGTTCCAGTTAGTTGGTGTTACACATGAGATAAAATCAGAAAACACTGCTGTAAAAACAACTGTGCACAAAAGGGAAACGCCGTGCAGGCGAACTGTACGTGAGTTACATGGACGCTGAAGCAAAATCAACAATCAATAGCTACAGCAGACAGGCCAATAGCCCCAACATACATGTACGCACGCAAAAGACAAACGCTTGGCGCAGTGTATCAGCTGGGAGAATCTGTTCCTTCCAGCCCTGTTGGAACAGGTTCGTGAGGGTTCTGCAGAGGACTTCAGTAGCATCCCTAAATAATGCGGGACCAGCAGCTCGAGAACGATTGAGGGCTTTAATCGGGTTTCGAACCTCAGCCTCTAAGTCAACACGCACTGACTTATACCACAACACGTAAGCGGGAGCGAGATAGTTAATAAAATAACCCTCGAGTGCTCCGACCAACAGACTACACGGCGCTCTTTACTGCTAATCAGGGCGCCCACGATGCCTCTGATTGTCTCACTGCCACATAACTTCACAGGACCAATGGCGCGGATCAATCACAAGAGCATGTGATGATTACCTACTGCTCCCGCTTCCTACGTTTCTTGGCCCCTACTGGTTCCTTGTCAGCATGCAGACCCCGCTCTAGTTTGCGCCTAATAGTCCGACGGTGCTAAGACCCAGCAAGGATTGATAGGTTGGGTAAAGCACTACGAAAAGCAACTTACGTGGTCTGTACAACCAGCTTCCCTATGGGCAACCGATCGCACTTCTTCCAGATTCACAATCTGGCTCAGAAGTCAAATAAGATCGGAAGTTAAAATTGTAGATGGTACAAGGAAAACAGGGAATTGGTCAAAGCTTCCTCGAATACGAAAAAACAGCTCTAATGTAAGGTTTACAAGATTTACTAGTGAAACTGTGGGTGAAAAGATCTCTCACAACGAACTCGAGATGCGAAGTCCTCGACATGATCCTCAGGGGTGGTCGACGTTCGGAATGCGGCGACGATAGAGGTATCAGCCCGATCTCCATCGCCTCTAAGTTACTTGTTTCCGTCGTTCTTAACACAAGTTGGCCATTTCGTCAAATTCGAGTAGTCACTGCCACATCTTCACCTCAGCTGTTGGAGCACCGCCACTGACATTGGCGACCCGACATATTCGTGTTCGACATCAAAAGTGTCATCGATTCGGTGAAACTGTGTAACCTTTGGGTTGATGCTTAGGAAAGACGTGCCCGGGAAATATTATATGAGCGCTATATGCACATACTTAGCGCCGAGTGCATATGGCACCAACCTTATCAATTTTAAGCGATATGCGACAAGGACGCCAACAGCCGTCTTTCATCTTCAACTTTGCAATCGCGTAGTTACAGAAACTTCATTCACCGGACTCGGTTTAGACGGTGCGAGTATGCTCCAAGGTGATCGACTTCATGATTTGAAATACGCCGGCATTGCCCTAACCTGTGACACAACAGCAATGGATAGCGGCATTGGTTATCTATCCTTTTGGGATAGGCTTTGCACCCTCGAAGTACAGTCTTTCTCCAAGATTGGCGGTGAGCAGCCTCTGCATGGACCCTTGGTAGTGGTTAGCTAGAAGTCGTTCAGAAACTCAAGTATCATGGCAGTTATACTAGCTCAAGGTGCCTCTGTCTGCACCACATCACACTCGCCCACAAGTGAAGAGTTTACAACGTAGCCGTTCGTTAAGCCATTCGGTACAGTTTCTAAACTTGGCCTATCGGACCAAGAGACGCAAAGAAGCTAGTGAAGTTCGAGCACCAGTACCTTCGTACAGCATGAGCAATGAGGAGGTTCAGTCAGTAAAGAAGAAAGCAAATTAATCGCTCTCACTGTTATTTCATGCACCAAGTTCCGATGGCTGTCATGTGTAAAAAATACCAGCATCCCGAAATGCAGGATGGGGTCAGAAAGATTAAGAACACATTTGTTTGGGTAGGCTTTTTGGCATAGAGAAGAACCGAACTCCATGGCGCTTGTGCTGTGAGTTGCCTTGTCCGCCCCAAGCTGCTAAGCCTCGTCTTCCAACCATGATCACATCCCCAATGTATACTATAAACCATCGCATAAGATTTTCGTTTTCTATTTTCCGTTCCTTTTTACGATTTAATCGAATAGCACGTGTGCTTATCGCTCCTTACAGAGTTGTAGGATGATGATAGTGGAGACGCGAAGTAAGCCAGGTTATTGGAACTCCAGTATGGCTAGCCAGAATGATGATGGACACTGGTATCCTGCATACACCTCTAAGAACAATAGTACACATCGACTCCGATTAAGCGTCAAGTCGTACCGTGTGGTATCCATTGACCAAATGTGCATCGACGTTGTAGAATGCAGCACTAAGTCTGAAAGATGAAGCGGCATTTCTCTTACTAGGCAGTATGAAATCCACAGAGAATACGCTAAGAAACATGGAACGGATGGGAAGTATGGGAAGGTTGCTGGTGATGCCGCCTCGTGAATGGATGATACTCCCCGGTTGTGCATTCCAAGATGGGGGTTTTGTTTGAGCTGCCTCGCTGCTAGTTTTCAGCCTAACAGCCTGACCCACATGATAGACGATACTTTGTTTGAGCAACGCTGATCAAAGGATACCTAGATTCAGTGATGTAACCCCCGATGGATTGAGGAGAATGTCCATCACAAGAGCGTGGTTGCTGCTTCCAATTGGGAGCTGTTTGAGGACGACCACATGAAGCATTAAGAAATTCGGAATGAGTCACATGCGCTTTCAGACCGCAGTGAACTGCCAACTGCGAAGGGGTAGTGGTGGGTTTTCACCAAATTAATATGCGGCTGTTTGACTCGAGGCGGGGGTAGCGGACTGCTGAGCAAATGTAATGCTCCTCATTGTTAGAGACAATCTGCGGTGCACTTGAACTAGGCCAAATGAGATATGGGGTTATAACTCGTAACCTGTTGTCTCTCATAACCAGCCATTGAAGGTAGAAATGAGAGAATGCTAAGAATGCGCATTTCTGACAATAACTTTCAGATTTGAGTATCTTTGAAGGTACTTGAAAAGTGTTATCAAACGTAGCTCAATGAATTGAGTTCACAAACCGTCGCACCTAGTTAATGCCATCACGTCGCGATCGCATCATCTCTGGCAGTAGCAACAAACGGTCCTCTGCAATCAGTCAGGCAAAAATTGGAAAGAATCAATAAAAGATATGTAATGCTGGTTAAAAATAAATCAGTACACGTGGAAAGATTACGCGAAGTGAGATTACGCTAGAAGGAGAAACAACATCGCTAACGAGTTGAGCTTCAATCAAAGGAAAATGAACTGTAATTTGGTTTTTATTTGCGAAAAGTAAAATCAACACGGTGAAAAAGATGGTCACATGATTTTGCAAATGGCGCAATCCACTGAGGAACGGATATGACACTCGGTTTCGAAAATAAACAATATATGAAACTATGCAAAGGAAGGGGTCAAGATAATGTTTCATTTAAGTGGTTTGTGTGACAAAAATCATTCGGCTGATGCTTTCGTAGCTGGCCTTCAGGTGTTCGATAAACTTGACCAAGTCTTTTCAAAAATTCAGACAGATGGGTGTTTCCTCCGTGTTTTGCGATTAACTCGTAGCACCTGTGAATGAACAAAAAGAGGTTAAATAGCTTAAACCACAAAGTATGAGAATAAAATGAAATTTTCAAACATGATAAAACAGAACACCAAGCAACTTATCCCGAAATCTCGTGAATGGGCAAATTCAAAGTGGTGGCTCTCGAACAATAATGACAAGTTGTAGGACCTTTAAGGAGAATAAGCAGCATCGCATTGAGGAAATTCTCACGGTGGATAAATTACGGACTATGATTAGCGCTTTGCACAAAAGTAAACGGCAAGGCGAACTGTCAGTAAAAAAGGTGCATTTGAACCAATCACTCATTAACGCGCAGCAACCCAGATGCTACTTCATTAGTGCATATAGTTAAGGAGGATAGAAAGAGTGCCCACTATTTCTTGCAGACATTCAATACATAAGGTGGTCGTTCGATTCCTGATTTAATAGGTACACAACAGGAGTTGGTGGAATGTAGATGCCGTCTGGTCCCAAGTCTCAGCAAATGATGTAGCTTCAGCAATGACCAAACTCTGAGCACAATGCTATCAGAGAAGCAGCCACACAATGTCGCTACTTAAATATCGTAAACATTTCAACTAAACGGAAAAACTCATCCCTGGATACTGTGAAACGGAAGCAAAGCTACCTGAAATAGTATTCGAAACTGGGGCGGCACAACGCATCTACCAACCAACACGAATAACGCCGCGCTCAACTACATCGTGCCTAGACCTGATGTTAACAAGATGTGAACAACCTATGTGTGGCGCCCAGATACTGTAACGCCTGGCAGCAAGCAACCCTTCAGTTCTTACTAAAAATATGGAGCCGCCGCTGAAGCAGTGGAGGCAGCTTCATCATTTTCATAAAGCACGCTAACTAGAGGTAAAAAACACTTCAGCTATGGTGCCACAATACATAAGAAGAAAAACACGCAACAAAGCCACGCCAGCTTAGTCATCAGCCACGGATGGGCATCGTTCCGAAGAGCTAACAATCGGCTATTGTGTCGCAAAGTAAGTTATATTATGGCTAGGAAACGGGATTGTGGTTAGAGGGGGAGGCTAAGCGGGAGGGGGACTGACGTAGAAATTCACTGAAGTCGATTCCTAGCCATGTCAACAAGTGTATCCAGCCAAACGTGTTCGTCTTTTGGGTCCCAACTAGGGAGCGAGAAACTCCAACCAAGAGCGAATTTGAACTAAGGGTCTTCATTCATCTTGACTAAGTCATCCATTCCCGGCGCGTAAACAACGCACGTCGCGAGAGGCGGTGGGCTGGCATGCGCAACACGTAGCCCAGCTATCGGAGCGTGGTGTGTGAAATAATAACGTTGCTGGGCAACTAACTCGCTCTTCCTGCGCCAAACACATGACGCCTAAAAAGCTCGTTGCTTACGCGGTGTTCCCACTAAATATGAGCCAAACTAGGAGGGCAGTGATCATCGAACGTAACTATCCACTTTACGCCTGTCGACTTGAGAAATCAGATTTCACAAATGTACAGTAGTGTTGTACGTACGGCTACATTGTAAACTCTACCCGTCAGGTGGAGAGTAATATCGTGCCGGTGCCACAATTGGCGAAGGATAGCAAAAGCGCCTCGAGCTTTTACTGTACGGTTTGTGACCCCATCTCCGATTCCGCAGTTGCACATACAACTGCCCAGGCAATTGAAATTTGAACGACTTTAGCTGATCCACACTGAAGGCCAGCATAGGAGGAAAGGAAAGTTTTGCCCTTCGAAGGTGCAAAGCGAAGCCCGAAACGGCGGACAGTTCGTGCTAATCTGTTCACCGCCGCTTGGCACGTTTGTGAACTGTCACAGATGAGGGCAATGTCGTCAGCATACTCCAAGTCAAGTTGTTCACTTGGGAGCAGCTCCATACCTTTTAAGTCGTGTCCAGTGAACGTGATTTCTATTACTTCGTCAATAAGGAAGTTGAAGAGGAAAGGTGACGATGGGCATCACTGTCTTACACCACTGGAAGTACTGAAGGGCGGCGACAGCTTGCCGTAAGCCCTCATTCTGCCCGAACTATGCGAATAAATCGCTCTGATAGTGTTCACCTTTTCGCGCACTTCTTTCCTGAGTAGAGAGTCCCAAAGGGCACACCAATACATGAAATCGAAGGCACCTTTGTTGCCGAGGAACATAACTGCGGTGATTCGCCAATATATGTGACAGGGCTCCAACAACTGGCGCAAAGTAAAGGTGCGATTGATGCAGCACCGACATCGACGAAACTTGGCTTCCTCCTCAGGAAACTGGCTTCCACGAGTGCCAGTGAATCTGTAAAGAATGACACAGGCAAGAAATTTGGAAGCAATGGAGACTAGAGAGATCCCTCTGTGGTCGTTACATTCAGACATGAACTTCCCTTGAAAATTGAGACTATAACGGAGCGGATAGAGTCGGTAGGGACAGTTTCCTGCTCCCACAGTTTCACTAGCAGAGAAGAGAACTCCTGAATTTGAAGAGGACTGGAGGAGGATAATGTGGTCCTACCAGTTCTACTAGACTTGGACGGAAACCCCTAATCTCCAGCACTGAGCGTGCGTCCGCGGCACAGATCTCTTCCGTATTCGCGAATGACCAGCAATCTGTACCGAGTGCGATGCATACCGCGCTCCCTGAACTCGACAATCTGGTTTCCGGTGTTGAAGAGCTGCGTTAGCTACTCACCAATCTTGAACGTACTAGATTTGCTTGCTATGACGGACTTCACGCACTGATTCTCAAGTCCCTAGCAATCATCATCTCACCTGCAGTGATTGACTCGCTCAACAAGTCACTGTCCGAAGATTCATTACCGAAAGACGGGAAATGTTCAGCAGTAAAACCGATTCCGATAGGCAGTGACTCCAGCAAAGTGGACAACTACCACTACAAGTTATTCTAACCAATGATGCTGAAAAGACCGTGAAGGAGAGTTTGCTACATGTGTTGCGGTCGAAATATTTACTGACGGTCACTCATGCATCACCAACCAGCTCGTCACGAGGTATGAATGGTTTCAGACAGTGAACCAAGGGAAGTCTTTTCCAGTGATCTAAATCGATCTCAGTAGAGCTCCCAACAAGGTGAGTCATGAATCACTCCCCAAAGGTTGAAAGCATGTGGTTTTTGTTATATAAGAAGAACGCAGATGTAGCAGAAGTATATTGTAAGAGGCACGTAGAAAGTACACCTGCTAAGAACGAAACGGGACATGAAAATCAGCCAATCGATCAATCAGCATTAAGCGTAGTTCACCCTACCAGGATAAGCTTAGGGTAGCGAATCACAACACTACTGGTGGCTTACTGCACCACTAAATCCGGGAATTTCTTGTTGGACGAAGGTGGAGGGTACAGGTGATGGTCATAGGACCGACTGTTATCTCTCTACAAAACAAGGCGCTAGGGCCCACTCTGTTCGAAACCCACACTAACGATTCACTTCCACTTTTTTGGTTGCTGTATGCTGTTTACGGACGACCTGAAGAGTTGGAGAGTGATTAATATTCCCGACGACTGCAGCCTCTTTGAGCAAGACCTCAGCCGCCCCTCCAATTGGCTTGAAGAAGTCCACCACCCGGTCAATCTAACGAAATAGGTATTCATCAATCTGGGGAAGGGTGGTGACGGCCGAATTTACACTCGACAGCTAACTGCTGCATCCCACACCTTCCATGACGGACCTAGGCGTACTCTCGCGCTGCGATCTGAAGACCGTGGACAACACGAACAGCGTATATCGAGACGGACTGCGCATGCTTTGGGCTGTCAAACGCAGTTTCTGTGCTTGGTCTGAAGAGTTGCCACTCGATTATTCCTCTCCATCATAAGAGCAATGCTAGAGTACGGTACGCCCGCTTGTTTTCCTACTACCTGAAAAGAGGCGCAGAAGAGCAAACGGGTCCAACGCGGCGCCACTAATCTCATCCCCAGTTTACGAAGCATACCGTACAAGTTAGACGTGATAGGCTGAAACTATACACCCTGTCTTATCGCTGGATGCGAGTCGTCTTCATCATGACCTACCACACTCTATTTCCAGGTGACTTCCTCATGCTGAAAGCACTGCTCCATTTGCGAACACCTTACAGTACACAGAGACACGCACAATCTTGTGGTACTAGAACTAAAGCGAGTTTCCTATGCTCTGTGCTTTGAAAAGCGAATGGTCAATATTTCGAACAGTTTTACGTAGTATTTAGTGGAAGCAAACGCAGTGTAGCAGTTCAAAGCACTATTGGAGGAAATTTACCCACTGGCAATATCTCACATTTGTGAACCCCAAGCTACCGTGAGATATACGTAATTTTACGATGTCAGATGAGAAATTGAAAGACGATCAGTGTTGATAGATCATATATAGTTTGTTTCTTTAACGGAGTCGTATAAACTTAAATTTCTGCTTGTTCCTATAAAACATCGTTTAGTAAGAACGGATAAACTGATGCTGTTCACTTGGTTGGATAGGGACTTGTCAACTGGGTCGGAGCGACGTTCTGCGCTTGCATTGAGATAAAACTAGGAGAAAAACTTCTATCAAAGCAAGGTGAGGAAGAAAGCCAAGAATGTGGGGTTGAAAATAGTTTGAATGGGTTGATGAATATTAAAAAGCGTAGGATGGGGATCAAACGGGAAGGCCTGAGGGGTAGCATATTCACTCCTATTCACTCGCTTGGGTGGTTACCCACTGCAATGATCAGAGCACCAAGAAAAACAGTAAAATTCGGTGTGACTGTATTGTTAGAGTAAGACGCCATCATGTTCATCTGGATGAGACAGATCGATTCGGGTTCCAGATCAAACACTTTGGACCAAACGCTTAATCGTAATGCAGTAGGAATTGTATACTTAGCTACATGAAGGCGGTCCTAAGAAGTGAGGTGGCATTGAAGACTGAGTCTGTCTAGTTTCTATCCGCCGACCAATCCGGTATGGCTGACTCCGGAGGTGTAAAAATGCGCCATCTCCAGCATAGCTCACTGGCCCGTTAAAGCACGGAAACCATTGCAACAGGTTAAGATTTAATGACAATAAGATGGATACTCAATAGACAAAACCGCAATGGTGGTCTGAGTCAGTGCGTCGCTTGTCTTATCGTTTGGTAAACATCAATTAGCCTTCAGCGAATCACACGGTATCATTGTGAACCAACGCCGACAGACCGAGATGAAGCGTTCAGGTTTTCATTCATTGTGCTTAGCGAACATGAAGATGGATAACGAGCACCCAGACAAAGAAGAGTGCAAGTAATGTTAAGGGAGAGAGACATTGAAAAAACGTTTAACTTACTTCTGTTCCAGCGAAAACAATGTGCTCACTGTGTAATCAAGAGCACCCAGTTCAGCCATGTGTCTCACACACTGTTGCTTTACCGAAAAGTTACTTGTGCGTTGAAAGAGAATACTTGACACTTGGTTGTCTTGTGGAAATGATTGGATGGAGTAGACAATTGGGAAACTAAATTTTCCTTCCGTTAGGTCATCGGCATATGTTTTAGACTTGTGGTACTGTAGGCAAGACAGAATGAAAAACTGAGGCAGATGTACAAATGGAACGGGCCGAGTAAGAGCTAAAGATACGCAGCCTCTGGGCTGAAAAATAGAACGGAGTAAAGAGAGCAAGCAACAACAAAACTGTCAGGAGCACATCACAAACTGAACAAAACAAAGTGTTAAAATACATGAATGGAGATACAGGTCTTCACTTCCTCGCAGCATCCAACAACGACGAAACGCTATATCGGAATCTAGCACATACGTAGCTCCTACAAGCTATCCGAATCATGACAAGCTAGTACGAAACAGATTCTAGAGGATAGTTAACGTACTGAAGTGTCCACCAGGTTGGCATAATCGTCACGAATTTGAAATATGAGTCCTAGATACTCCAGAAGCTCACTGAAGTCACTAGAAGAGCAAGAGAAATTGCAAACGGATGATCGACTCCCCGAAACGTTGCCATTATGCAAGACCGCATTAAAAGTGCATCAGTGCAAAAGAATCAGACAGATTGATGTCATAGGTGATGACAGAAGATAGACAATGGGACCGACATCGGTAGAGTAGGAACAGGGGGCACTAATGATGCCATTTCGTTTGGAAATGCAGCGAAATTGTCAAGCTCAACAAACAGTGCGGCTGTCGAGAACATGAAGTATTTCTGTGTAATACAAACATAACGTCTGGTAAACCCATCGGTTTGAATATAGAGACGGGCAATTCGGTGGACCGGAGTTATTGAATGAAGTTAATCCACTTGCGACTTGAAGTCATAGGCATCAGCAGGGATGCAATCAGTCACAGGTTAGTGTTGCTGCTGCAGATGAACTCAGTCACAATAGTAAACGAAAAGTAATGGCTCACAGTGCTTAGCCACTATGTTAAACATGATACGATGAGAGGGCTGAAAGATTCCTGCTCCGTAATTGTCAAACATTATTTCTATTCTTCGATCAAATAGTATCAAAAGTCCAAATAATTAATTCAGGAATAACTTGAGAAAACCATCGTGATACGGATGAAGTATCGAACATTTCTACACTACTCACAAGCGTCATGGTTCGGTAGATTATTGCTTCTCTTGTGACTCAGATCAGTAAAAAGCCGCGTAGTAACCGATAGTTTGATATTCGTCAGAATTTTATGCTTCACCGGGTTATCTAACGGTAACTCCACAAAAAGTACGCATGCCTCAGCTTTGCGTCGGGTACCGGTGCGTGAGTTTATTATGGCTATCTACTTTTGAATGATCAAAGTTAGAAGATATAGCCCACACTGAAATCCGCGTAAGACATTACCGTTGACGACTAGTGCACTCAAATACGAGGAAAACCTATATTCCCACCTAATTCAATCCTAAGGTCTCAGAGCCATGGTCGTCAAGGCCTAACGGTCTCATCGAAATTATCGACACTACAGGCTGCTTCCTATCTTTCCTCTTCTTATCTACTTACTTTTGTTGGCCTAAGTCTTGTATATCAAGAGTAAAGCGGAGCGAAGCCATTGGTTATCCAGAACGTAAAAACAGTGGTAGCTTTTGCAGTCTCTACCACATGAATTACAGGCAGATGAGCTCATATTGGCCAAATGAATATTGAGCTGACTTGTTGTCTCCATGTGGTCAAGACTTATGTTGCCCAGCACTATACTGTCGATCACTTGAAGTTATAGAAAAAGTAGATTTTCCCCCATTGCATTGCGCTAAATCTCAGTATCCTCATAAGAATGCTCGAGGGGCTCATCTTACCATGGACTAATTGAGGCGAGTTCACAGATACTGCGTTTACGTAAAGGTCCCGCATAGATCGTATAGCATGATCGCGAAGTTACACGGGTTAATTATGTTATTTTTAATTACTTACGCAGAAAAAACCAGATTTTTCGGTCTTTCTGATCACAGTCGTAACCATCGCTACTAATGTGCTGTGCCCCGACTTATTAGATGCGACTTGTTACCTAAAATCTATTTATCCGCATTGTTTTTCATGTTTTTCTTTCTTCTTTACGTGGTTTGCTTGGAAGGCAAAACTGCAATTTTAGCGAAAATTAACGTAGAATGTTATTCGCGGCTTTTCGTAACTGTTGAGGATATCGCATTTGTTTTGCCAATATAAGGTGGAGCACCGCCTGTTTGCTGCGTTTGGCTTGTTTGTTTTTACTTTTTTTTCCATTTTTCGTCCTAGAAAGCTCTTTAGGCTGGTAGTCAAATTCGTTTGATCGCTCTCCAAGGTCACTCACTGATTTAATTTATGTATGGCATACTGAGTATATTGTGTATGCTTAAAGAATTGCTTTATCTAGTTGCATTTTACTTCGCTTAACACATAAAAATTTAGGTCTAGTCTTACGATTTTTCGTCTTTAGTTACTGCATTCACTTATTCTATTTTCCCCCGTTTAACTTAATTCCCCTGCTGTATTTACGTGTTTATCGGGAGATTGGCCTGGCTGCTTTGGCCATTTGGAGGATGAAAATTAAAACGCGTTTCTGTAAGCTGGATCGTATCTAGAAAACGCAAACTCACACAGCAGACAAACTGCAACCCAGCATTGAAAGCGCTATCATCTGCCCGTTTGGAATCCCATAGTTACAAAACACCTGATAAATAACACCTGAAAACCACATACATGAGCATAACGCTTTTGTACATTTTGATCTGGCCCTCTCTCACAGACGAGAAGATACACTTCCTTCTGCTTCTTCTGCTTCATCAGACCACCACAACAGCTGTCGTGCCATAAATCTGTCTTATCCGACCCTATCTATTTAACTGTACATGAAGCGATCAAAGACCCTCAGCAGCCTTAGTTACATGAACTATCGGCAAACTTGCAATACGTAGAGGACGTCACCTATCCTGGGTCGTATCAAGCTGTCTTGCAAGTGCTGTTGAAAAGGACCACGAGAAACATTTCACGCTTAGGCATGCGCGTCTCATGTCCAACATGCAAGCCACTGTATATGGGACTTGGTCGACGCTCTGACACTTAGCAAGTCCACTGGTCGATAGTTCTGCATACCTGCGCATCGTAAAGATGCTAAGGTTACTGCCCTCATAAGTAGAGCTTATGTTGTCATTCAAACTCACACAGATAGCATCGCAGAGTTCTTACTTGCACCATGAAAACCTTCCACATCGATATCAGATGCTCCTCTGACACCTGCTTATTCGAAGACGCAACTGTTGAAGTCGCGAGCCAGGTCGTCGTGAGAAAAGCATTAAATGCTCGCGCAAAAGCCGCCGCTTGATTGTATCCCAGTCAACAGCCGAATTAGCAGAATTCGGCTCGAGAGCTCCACACATTCACCCAGACGCGAGGCCATCAAATGCCGTTAGTTTGTCGTAGCTGCATATGTAGCCCGGACTCAAATAAGGACAAGCTCTACCATCAAATCTCCAACTTTATCTGTAGAAAGTTCCGCACGGATATCGTGGTGCTCTTCAGAGAAATAAACGCACAATTTAGTATGCTCAAAGGTAATGGATGAGATCTTCATGCTCCGCATGGCCATAACACTCGACTTCTGCAGCTCTGTGCAGAGCACAGTTCATTTCAGTCGAATACTAATTTTCAGCGCTCCTGGCGCCAGCGCGCAACCCGACGGCCCCTTTTGCCAATTCACTAGTGGATTGAGATAGACCACACCATTAGCAGTTAATATCAGTGAGATTGCATGACGGACTGCGAGTCAATTTGAAGTATTCGTCTCACTACAGACAAAGCGACTGTGTGCCGAAGTTGCTCAGCATTTTGGTGGAACCAAAAGGTGTCTCGGGAAACGGTTTCGCCCAGGTCGGAGCTATATTGATTACATATCTACGATCTGTTAGATACTCGAGCACTGTCTCGATTTCAGTCGACTCACCACTGCTCATTTACTGGACCTACATAATGTCTGACTGAATAGACACAGCTGATCTCGAGAGTTGCCTACTGTGAAAGGGAGTGTCCGAGAAGTTTGTCAACATCCTCCAAGCAGTGTAATCCTAGACCTCGGGCCGTGTGCAGTTATCTGGTGACCACTCGCAATCGTTCGGTAACACCATTGATGTGAAACAGCGTTGCCTGGCATCAATCTTATTGTACCAATTCGTTATGGATATGATTGAGTGTTCTGGAAAGAGGTGAGCCAAGTGACATAGAGCTGCTCGCCGTTGATCTGCTTTGTGAGTTAGATTATGCAGACATCGTAGTAATCTGTGACTTCGCACACGGTTCCAAGCATATGCTGCACAAGCTGGATACTCCTGTCTCAGTTCGGAATGACCATTGCCCCAACTCAATGCAAGGTTTGCCATCAGGACAGGTATGGAGCCACTGCACAACGCAGCCTCTCAGCCTCTTATTTGGAAGCAGTCGATAAGTTCGTTTTTGTTGGAAGTTGCATTAGTGTGAGAGGATTAACGGATAACATGTCTCTGAAAATCTCCGAAGCCAGAGTAGACAATGACTACCTCCGACATCGCAGGACCTAGCGTGATCTCAGCCTTTCACTAACATATGGAGCTACGATAAGATCAGTAATCCTTTAAATGTGTAACAGCTGGCCCGTTTGCGCCAGCGATGTTCAGGGACTAGTTGTGTTTGAGCACGGCTACCTCCAGAGAACAGCTGGTGTGCGCTTGGAGCATCGAGTCAGTCATGATGACACAGGACGTCGTTTGCAAGTTAGACAAACTCGACATAGCTCCTATGCAGAAGCTTCGCAACTCGGGTACGTGATTAGCATATCTGCTCAGCAGTTGCGACGCGCCGTGCCTTCAATACACGCGCACGTTTTGTATGCAGAGGGTGTGCAGGTAGTCAACCCAAAACTTGGGTTCAGGAAATCAAGACGCAAAGAGCAAGGTAACAACATTCAGGCGTTCCCGAATCTCTGGATGGGGACGTATCACGCAGAGTCAGCGTTCAGACCGAGAGCATTGGCGCAACAGTGGATCGATCTACAAATAGAGATCGAACGCGAGTAAAGATCAAAATGCGAATCTATGTGGAATCAACGGCAAGTCGGACCATGAAGCTAAACCTTTTGATTTACGTTAATTAGCACCTCCAATTTGGTTGTGTTAGTAGTTTCCTACAAGCTATTTATTACGCTATGCTCTCATGCAATAGAATCAGAACCAGAATCGGAATCGGAATCCCTCGATGCGGCTGGTCTTGGCGTTCTCACTTCGTGGCGGGTCGAATTGGTTGGGGGCGGCACAGCAGATTTCAGGCAGGTTATCAGTAAATTCAACGGAACACACAACAGATGTCTGGAGACGGTCAGCTGCGCGGTAGCAGCATGCTAGTCGTACAATCAGCGGCAACTACAACATATTTCTGGGGGCATCTCAACATATTTCGGGCAACAGGAGGTAAACTTACTCCAGATAGCAATATCAGCAGAACATCCGATAACTA